CACAACTGAGGTTGTAGAGACCATGTTAAACGCTAGAGCACCATCCACAAGAAATTGTATGCACTCAAGTGGCAGCATTTTGTCTTGTGGTGTGAGGAACGTCAGCTATATCCAGTGAACTGTGCAATAGCTACAGTCCTGGAGTTCTTACAAGAACGTTTCTCAGCAGGGTTGGCTCCTTCAACAATCATGGTTTACGTTCCTGCTGTTTCGGCCAGCCATTCCCCTGTTGATGGAGCCTCTATGCGGCAACATCCTCTAACTTCGAGGTTCATGTTTGGTGTCAGGCGGCTGTGGCCCATCTGCAGGCCACAAATACCTTCCTGAGACCTTTCTGTGGTCCTGGAAGGTCTGTCAGAAGCTTCTGACTCTAAAGGTAGCTCTTCTGCTGGCACTGACATCTGTCAAGTGAGTGGGCGATCTACAAGCTCTTTCTGTTGCCCCTTCCTGCCTTGACTTTGCCCCTGGATTAGCCAAGTCCTTCCTGTATCCTAGGCCGGATTATATTCCTAATGTGCCTACATCGACTTCCCACTCTGTGGTGTTGCAGGCTTTCTGTTCACCGGAACAAGAGAGGATGCACCTGTTGTGTCCAGTAAGGGCTCTCTGTACATACGTCCACTGCTCCAGCCGGTGGTGTAAGTCGGAGCAGCCGTTGGTCTGCTTTGGCGGTGACAGTAGAGGTTATGCTGTGTCAAAGCAGCGCATCTCTGATTGGATAGTGGAAGCAATCTCTATTGCTTACGAGGCACGTGGTCTTGCTACGCCTCTGGGCATAAGGGCTCATTCCACTAAGGCCGTCGCCTCCAAAGGGGTCTCCTTACAAGATACGTGTGCTGCTGCAAGGTGGTCTATGCCACACACATTCATTCATTATTATAGCCTTGATGATCATTCCACTCTGGGCTCGAGTGTCTTGCAGTGACCCTCGGGCTTGGGTCTTTTTGAACAGGCCGTACCCTCGGTATGACAGAGTTGGTATTCTCTTTCCCATATTGTTATGCTAAATGCAACGTCAAAGTTCAATTTGAAAGGGAACGTCTGGGTTACGCATGTAACCCTGTTCCCTGAGAAGAGAACGAGACGTTGTGTAGCTTTTTATACCATTGCAGGCCTGTGAATTGCGTCTTAACTTCGGATAAAAGTTCACAGGTGCCATATATATATATATATATATATAATGCGACACGCTTAATTGCCACGTCACCTATAAGTAGAGGCACGATTTTACACAAGCTTCAGATACTGGTCACGCATGCAAGGGCACTCCCATACTGTTATGCTAAATGCAACGTCTCCTTCCCTTCTCAGGGAACAGGGTTACATGCATAACCCAGACGTTTGGTTGAACTAGTCCACTGTTCACTAAAGGAGACTTGAGTGCAAAGTTGCATGTGGTAATTGCAGTCCTAAGGCCATAGCACCAACCATAGTCCAAGCAACCACACTGAGAATGTCCATGTGGAATTGAGGCCTAAAACCATTTCCATGGTTCTTCAAGCAATACCATCCTAAGCAATCTCTGCTTGGAGTCATCCGCAGTGGCAGAATGTAGCTTAGTTGAGAGCACCATCCAGAGGTAGGGCATCAGGATAGATCAGGAAGGTCCGGGGAGCAGAAAGGATCAGGATCACTGGCATCTCCATAAAATCATGTGTGGCTCGACACAAACACACAAACATGGCATCCCAAATTGATTTATGAACCAGACTGTACTTTATTTGCTAGTCCAGCTTCTCCTTTACAGACATGTCAAGAGTAGGCAGTTTCTTATATAATCAAACATACTTCAAAAAGGTGCTCCATATGAGAAAAGTGTGAGCCGGAATGACATCGCTGTCATGACATCATTCTACTTGTCCAAGGATATAATACGCATCAAAAACATTAAAAATTTGGGTTTTAAGTGACTTGTCGATATAGTTGATGCACATTACGACTTATCAAGTCGCAAATATTTTTCTAACATTGTTATTATCAGCTGTACACGGAATGCCGAGCAAAGTGCAATAAGAAGAAAGCCATTTCTCAACGTTTGCTGTGACGTTTGGTGTGTCTCTCAGGTGACTTGTGGCAAACTTTAGACGAGACTTTTTATGGATATCTTTGAGAAATGGCTTTCTTCTTGCCACTCTTCCATAAAGGCCAGATTTGTGCAGTGTACGACTGATTGTTGTCCTATGGACAGACTCTCCCACCTCAGCTGTAGTTCTCTGCAGTTCATCCAGAGTGATCATGGGCCTCTTGGCTGCATCTCTGATCAGTCTTCTCCTTGTCTGAACTGAAAGTTTAGAGGGACGGCCAGGTCTTGGTAGATTTGCAGTGGTCTGATACTCCTTCCATTTCAAAATGATCGCTTGCACAGTGCTCCTTGAGATGTTTAAAGCTTGGGAAATCTTTTTGTATCCAAATCCGGCTTTAAACTTCTCCACAACAGTATTACGGACCTGCCTGGTGTGTTCCTTGGTCTTCATGATGCTCTCTGCGCTTTCAACAGAACCCTGAGACTATCACAGTGCAGGTGCATTTATACAGAGACTTGATTATACACAGGTGGATTCTATTTATCACCATCAGTCATTTAGGACAACATTGGATCATTCAGAGATCCTCGCTGAACTTCTGGAGTGAGTTTGCTCCACTGAAAGTAAAGGAGCCGAATAATTTTGCACGCACCACTTTTCAGTTTTTTATTTGCTAAAAAAGTTTAAAATATCCAATAGATTTCGTTCCACTTCACAATTGTGTCCCACTTGTTGGTGATTCTTCACAAAAAATTTTTTTTTTTATATCTTTATGTTTGAAGCCTGAAATGTGGCAAAAGGTTGAAAAGTTCAAGGGGGCCGAATACTTTCGCAAGGCACTGTATGTGCCACCATGTCAAATGGTTAAACTCATTACTTGGGCCCACTCTCTACTTTTAACCAGCTAGGAGACACCAGGATGTACCAACTCTTAGCAAATATTTATTAATGGGATAGTATAGCCAAGGATGTTAACCATTTTGTTTCCTCCTTTAATTTCTGCCTGTCCTGTGATTTGTTCTGCAAGCTGTGTGCTAGCTAAACCCTGAAAATGCTCCCTGTTGGGAAACTTCACCCTCCACCCTCCACAGGATTATATGTTTTTATGAGTTACCTTACAAAAAGCATACCCGAGTTACTACAGGTTTGACACATACATTCAATACTGTATGTGCAATCACACAACACAAACACACCTTCTCACTGCCAGCCAGGTCCACAAGATAGAGTTTTCCACATAGTTTCTGCTCTGTTTCGACATGCTCCTGCTTGATGTTGATCAGGAATATGCTGTGGCTGCGAGAACTATGTTCATTCATGTCTATAAAAAAAAAGAAGAGAGAGGAAGCGGAGATAAACAGACACATTAGACAAAATCTGTTAAAAAGAAATGAGGAAGAAGGAAACATATTGGTTTTATATTTCAGTAGCCAATATAAAGAGTAGTGCAGTTCTCCACTACAAGAACCCCTTAACATCTTATAGTGGATTGTGTAAACACTAATTTGAATATCAACTCTATCACTCTATCTTTATAAGGATAATATTACCTTCACCAGAATACACACTAAAGATTTGTAGCCTTTTTCCACCACACATTATACAATATGTTCCTTTAAACATTACAAAAAGCAAATACAATAATTTCACCCTACAAATCCATTACATGATAATCACATATGCCACAATGTCATGAGGAACTGACTAACTAGAAAGTTGTCTGGAGATTTGGGGTTTGAATTGAGGATTGATGATGATAGACGGCTAAATGACCGCTAGCAAAAATCCCAGGTTCAACCACAAGGCGACGACCTTTTTTGTTTTCAACTCCAATGGCCATTATAAAATATAATATGAACAATATTATGAACAATAACAATAATGAATAATAATAATAGGGGAGTGAATTTAACAGAAAAATCACATTAACAGAAAATCTCTGTACTGTACATCATTATTATTTGTCCACAAATAATTAACAATATGTACTGAATTGCCATTTGATTGAAAACACAAGGGTGGTCTATGACCATTGCACAGTACTGCACATTCCTGGTTGATGTGTTGTCCTCAGTGAGACTAATAGTAGATAAGAGCCCCTAAGGAGATTTTGTGCAAAGTAGAGAGAACTGCATATCCTTATGTTGGCCTGCTGGTTGGTGTAGCTGAACATCACAGCACTGTCTGAACAAATCAACACACAGCAATGTCTCAGGACCAGTAAAAAGAACTTGCAGGCCAGATGGTCTACCCTCAATTCTAGACGGTTCATGTAATCTGATCTTACACAGACCAGGAGCCACACACCCTGCATCACTGTGGCACCACACTCTCCCCAGTTTGATAGGTAAGCGTCTGTGATGAATAACTCTCTCTGATGGGGCACTGCTCAAAAAAGTAATGACAAAAACTCTGCACCTCCTACGAGCTACAGTCTGTGTCCCTCTCGATGAGATAAGGATCAGCCTCTGTTTGAAGTGTTTGGGGTCTGGCTGAAGGCTGACATGCCACTGCTTGGAACAGTATGGAAAACGCAAAAAAACCAACAAAAAGTGTCATTTGAAGATTCAGCTCACCCTGTTCTATATTGAAAACACATTATTAACACATTATTTGATGTTTTATTTTGTGAATTTATTTAATTTTGAAAATGCACTCATTTCAAATCTGATGACTGCAACACACGCCAAAAACCTTTTTAACCCTGTGTAAGATTACCTTTTCTTGGTTGGTTACGTTTAGGAAGCGGAATTTCCCCCCATTCATCTATTATATACATCTTCACCTATGCAACTGTACATAGCCTTCGTTGCCTTATTTTGCGCTTCATAATGCACCACACATTCTCAACCGGAGACAAGTCAGCACTGCAGGCAGGCCATGCTAGCACCCACATTCTCTGCTTACGCAACCGTGTGCTTTTAATTCGGGCAGAATGTGGTTTGGCGTTGTCCTGCTCTATATGGCAGCATATGGGGCTGTGGTGGCTTGGTGGTTAAGGCTCTGGGTTACTGATCGGAAGGTCTGGGTTCAAACCTCAGCACTGCCAAGCTGTCATTGTTGGGCCCTTGAGCAAGTCCTTTATCCCTCTCTACTCCACGGGCGATGTATCATGGCTGACCCTACCCGAGCTTCCTGGCATGCAGGGGTATATGAAGAAAATAATTTCACTGTGCTCTAATGTATATGGGACCAATAAAGACTCATTATATGTATATATCAAAAATGTGTATATATGTGTATTTCTGCATTAATGGTGCCCTCACAGATGTGCAAGTTACCCATGCCATGGGCGTGGCCCTATACCATGACAGATGCTGACTTTTGTAAGCATGACGCTGATGCAGGGATGGTGCTTTTCCTCTTTGGCCGGTGAGAAAACGACGGCTATTTTGTCAAAAAACTATGTGAAATGTTGACCGCAAAACTTTGATTTCACTCTGCTACTGTCCATCTCAGTGAGACCGAGCCCAGAGGAGTTGGCGGCGCTTCTGGACAGTGTTGATGTATGGCTTCTGCTTTGCACAGTACAGCCTTAACTTGCATCTGTGGATGCAGTGGCGAATGGTGTTGCCTGACAAAGGTTTACCAAAGTATTCCTGAGCCCATGTCAGGATATGCATTACAGAAACATGACGGTTTTTAAGACAGTGATGTCTGAGGGATCGGAGATCATGTACATTTGGATGTGTTTTTCAGCCTTGCCCTTTACACACCAAGATTTGATCGGATTCCTTGAATCTTTTAAATTTTGTCTTTGGGGAATGTTGTTCTCAAATTGTTGGATTATTCGCTGAGGCAGCATTTGGCATATTGGCAAGCCTTGATCCATCCTTACTCTTCAAGGACTAAGCTTTTTTTGGAGGCTCATTATATGCTATGATTAGATGATTGCCTCAACTGTTTCAGATCAGCTTCTTATTTCAGCTTGTCACATCGCTATTAGTCTTAAATTGCCCCATCCCAACTTATCGGGAACGTGTTGCATGCATCAATTTCAAAATAAACATTTACCTTCAAAAAACTATGCAGTTGATTAGGTAAAGCATCAAATACCTTGTTTTTTTAATATGTTTTTTTTGTTTAAATACAAGTCAAAGTACATTTATAAATCACTCCTCTTTGGTTTTATTAGCATTTTCCATACTGTCCCAACTTTTTTTGGAAATGGGGTTGTACTTGTGAGCCTAGTTGGAATGTCTCTGCAGCTGCCATCATTAAACCTAGCATCCTCAACAAGAGCCGGTAAAACACATATCAACCTAGCTGAATCTAAGAGGCAAGCATACTAATGTCTGCTACACACTGGGGTGCCAAAGTTGCTAACATTCTAAATGGGGACATCATTAAGAATATAGGCATCATCAGTTCCACTGATGTAAACCACAGAATAGTTGCATAGCATAGATTACATATGATAACCTAAGCATACAAAAATTCTGGGTCTTTAGGAACCAGTTCAGCTACCTCAAATGTAAAATTGGCCATAAAGCTGTTTAGGGTCCCTGGGGCACTGTTTAGGGTCTGCCTAGATGGTTGTGAGCAATCCAAACAGGGTTGCATTGACATAAAAAGTGCCACATGTATGGTCTGCTCGCTGATCCAGGACAGGATTTGGTGGCAGACCCAAAGAATGCCACAGATTTTGCAGGATTGGTTTGTATACATCCAAAAGTATTGATTGTGCTAACACTTGAGAGACATGTGTAAAGAAGGTTGAGAACTGACCCACACCCTTGCTTAGGGTAGGCTCACAATTGAAAGGGACCAATTGCACCAATGCTACTAGTAAAATATTCTGCCACACATGAGAGGCGAGATCATAAATTCGAATTAGAATGTAATCAGAGTGTCTGCATTCAGTGCTTGGGAAGTACGAATATGGATGTTGTGCTTTGTCTGATGGGACCAGCAGCGCTGCAATAGAGGTATGAACGGCAGATCTGTGGCCCAGCCTTACCTGCTTATGAGCTGTTATATTAGCTGAAACATGTGCCACAGTGCTTGGGTGTGATTGAGCTTTCTGTCTAAATCTTCCTTTAAAGCTTCTAATAAAATACTTAGATTGTGGTATAGTGAATTCTGTAATGACCAGCACTGTGCGAAAGAGCGCATTCATGGTTGTAAACTGTTTAGAACTATCAAATCCCACTCAGAGGCTCATGTGACCTGGCCTTTGCACAGACTCAGTTTCTGAATCATTGATTTCAGCTAAGCCATGTCTGCCACTAGGTTTGTAATTCACCTAGAAAGTAACTTTCTGGACTTCTTTATTATACTCATCGGTTGTTGAGTATGTGAGTAGTGAGCTGTTTAGGCTTCAGGTATTTGGCACAAATGTGACTCTGCATTAAGGCCCAAATCTGCCAGCTGAGCATTTCAGCATCAGCAGCTTTGTGTCTGCATCAGGATCTCTGTGCAGTCAGCACTCGGGATGTCCAAACCAGGCACTGTGTCCTGAAGCTGCTCAGTGTTGAGACAGTGAGCACATAGTGAGTCCTCGTCTTTAGTTTCCAGTGGACAATGGACACATGGGTCTTGCATGCTCGATTCAATTAACCACTCGGTGATTTGTGAAAGAATGAGGGATTTGTTACATGGAGGAAAAACAAAGCAGCTCTAGAGCTGCATATTAGTAGAAATTCAGTTAATTTATCAGACTAAACCAAGAACAGCACATTATGGTTTTCACAATACAGATCTTTGATACCAACATTAACTTTAGACTATGGAAAATTTTTTTTACCAGTTATCAATTCATTATCTGTTTACTGCACTGATAAAAAAACTTAACACTTCTGGTAAAAATACAACTTTGCATTAATTATTAATTTAATTACTATTAATTTAATTAGTTTCATTATGTAATGATTAATTAAACATGTTGTCCATACTAGCTTAAATAATTACATAGTATAATATGCTCTCTATAGCCTAAGGATGTCTTTAAGAATGTCCATCCAGCCATCCATCTTCTATAATGCTTATCCTTCTTCAGGGTCACGGGAAACCTGGAGCATATCCCAGGGAGTATCAGGCACAAGGCGGGGTACACCCTGGACAGGGTGCCAATCCATCTCAGGGCACAATCACACACACATTCACACACCCATTCATACAATACGGACACTTTGGAAACGCCAATCAGCCTACTATGCATGTCTTTGGACTGGGGGAGGAAACTGGAGTACCCAGAGGAAACCCCCGCAGCATGGGGAGAACATGCAAACTCAGCACACACAGGGCCACGGTGGGAATCCAACCCCCGACCCTGGAGGTGTGAGGCGAAAGTGCTAACCACTAAGCCACCGTGTGCTCTTTCGGAATGTGTGTTTAAATATATATGTGGAAAATTAAAGACATTTACCTACAACTAATAATATTTACATTTGTAATATGTCACTCTAGTCACTAGTCATATCAAGTCACTCTATGATATTATCATGAGAATGACATCTCACTCCTTGACCCTGTCTTTATGACAAGCTGCTGCTGTGAATGGAAATCAGGTTGATTCACCTCAGCCATGCTTTTATCACGTTATACTCGGTGTACAGTTTGTGTTACTGCACACTCTTCATGATCAGAATATGTAATATGATTAGTACAGGAAAAACAACATCACCGTGTTGAAAGAAAGAACCATAAATATTGAATGTTCTGGAATCAAATTGTTTTCATGTTTAAAATTTGAAAAAGCACTGAAGGTTTGATGCATCGTGCAACCCTACAGCACATCGTGTTTCAAGGTAAAACCACTCAACCAGTGGTTTCCTTTCATGTTTCACATATTATTTTACAATATATTTATAATAGTCATGGATACTGCAGAAATGTTGACTGTTCCATGCCCCATGTGTCACCTACACATTTGTACATTTGTGCACCCAGTAAAATCTATGAACAACATAATTACTGACTGTGCAAATCATGTTAGGCTAAAAAAGTCAAATGCCTAGACAGAAGAGCACCTGATATCCACTGTAAAATACAGTGATGGATTATTGATGTTTTCAGGCTGTTTTGTGGTTGGTATTCCAGAAACTCTTGTGAAGGTTAATGGACTCATTAAAGTACCATAAAAATATTTTAGTATAGAACTTGATGACGAACATCATGATGAAACCAATAGAAACCATGAATTTTGATTAATTGGCATAAATTTATAAATATTATGCAATCTCTCACATGCCATGTCAGATGGTTCAAGTACACTGTTGACCAATCTATTACTTCCATTTATACAAATATAATTATCAAGAAATGATGTTACAGATATCTTACTCTTACCAATTCAATCCACACACGGACATATTTGCAATTAGTGGGTTAAAAGACTCACTGGTGACAGCAACATGGCGGTTAGACTTTCCTTCATCAATCACATCCATGACTTCCTCTGGGCTTGAGACAAAGCGCTCAGTGCAGCCCTGAAACGGATTAACATGCAAGGGTCAGATAAGAACTTCATCACAGATACAAAATCACAAGACGTAAAGGATGAGACTGTTTACCTTAACATAGGGGACACGGTTCTTGTCCTCATGGACAGACAGGTTGGTTTTGGTGACTACACACAGAAAGTGAAAAATGTCAAAAACTAGTGTATGGTTTAAGAAGAATATAAATAACATAATATAACATGAAGACAACAAACCATCCAGAAGATCCCGGATCTTTTCCATGTAGATCTCAAAGTAGGACACCTAATACAGGCATAAATATTTATGACACAGATATAACAGACTTTTGGGGTTTGTAAAGCAGAGTGGTATTTATAAAAAGAAATTGTAATGGTATCCTGATATGAGTCAGAGTAATCATTTTTGTACTATAATAATAAGATAAACATTAATGGTTGCTACTGGTCAATTTATATGCAATTGACAGTCTACTCATACGCCAGAATATATCATAGTGTGGGGGTTTATTTATATCTTGGTAGGAACTAAACGTTTTGACCTTGTGGGGATGTTGGCTGGTACCACACATCGTGCAGCTTTGTCTTTTAAAAATATAGTTTCCTTCTAGTGACTTATATTACTGTAA